AAATTCAAACATATCAAACAAAGAAAGTTTTGTTCTTGTAATAAAAACTGATGTTAAAAGTTGTATCAAATAAAGAGAAAAAACAACAACTGATTTTTCACAAAACATGGGAGCCAACTCCATCTTGGATAGAACTGTTAGGAGGAAATTAGAATCAACAAAAATTAAGTAAACCATATAAAAAAAAGTAAAAGGCACTATATTGACAGTCCATAAAAAAAGAGGACTCACAAAGTCCTCATGTTCATAGATGGAAAACAAATTTCAATCTCATGCTGCCAACTCTAGAAATAGTCAGAGTGTTAGTTCATCACAACAAGGTCTGATCATTCATATATGGTTCATTGTCTGAGGGCACAATTTTCTCTGAAAATAAAAACATATCAGTTTTGAGTTAAGTATGAAAACATTGTCATGTACTTGTATCAGTTTTCAAATCACTTTATTCATTGGAAGAGAATAAAAATAACCAGCTTATTTTTCAAAAGTGAAATGAGAGTTGGCGGAAAAAATATTTACAATATAATTATCATAAATATATTTTCGCTCACAGTATGCCATACATAAGGCCACAAGCACAACATTCATGAACGAACAACAAATAGATTTATTAATAAACTTGATATCACCTTGATATCACCTGCACTTTGTTATTTAGAAAATGCATGGACCTACAGTGCACACACACATGCGCACAAACACACGCACACACATACACACACAAACAAAACAGTTATTGGCTCATGTGGTGAGGTTTCGTCATCAAGATTACAAATTGCAGATACTGAGTTCTCTCCTAGTTATGACTTCCATGTTTACTACACTGGTCATAAATACAGAGGCGCACATGAGAGAGAAAGCGTGAGACACATCTAAACAGAAATTTCTTTCAGAAAATGCCTTGAGAAATAGGGCTTAAAAGTAATTACTTAAAGGAAGTTACTTACTCGTACATTTATAATAATAATTAATAATAATTGCATTTATATAGCGCATATTCATGATCAAGAGCTTGCTCTATATGCTTTACAACTATTATTACCCCAGCAGACCCTCTGAGAACCCTCAGAAACATTCTCAGCTTCCGCGGAAGCATACAGTGCAAGCTGCCGATTTCACGCTCTCAAACACTATCAAACTGACAAGATCTTTCACTGTCTATAGCTGGGTACCCATTTCCACCTGGGTGAAAGTGAGGAAAATTTGTGCAAAGTGCCTTTCCCAAGGACACAACGTCGGGCCCTTGACGGGATTCGAACCCACGACTTTACGGTTGCGAGTCCAAGAGCCTAACCACTAGGCCACCGACGCCACATTTAAGTCTTAAGAAGACGGGATAGAGCTGGACAAAAAAGAAGACTCTAGCCATGGGAAGAAGTACATGTAAGAACTCTTGTTGGTTGCCTATACTCCAGCAAAGTATAAAAAAGGCTGATGAGGTATTTTTAAGTAAGGAAATTGATTTTCATTCATATTTGTTGAATTGTTGTCTGACACATTTTTCAGCGAGTACTGTCTATATATTTCAAAACCTATACGAAAGTTGGATGTCACATCAGGTGGATGTGTATAGATCTAGCTATTTCACCCTTCCAATTCAAAGACAATTTTAATCTACAATCAGACCAGAGTATTCTTTAACACTTTGCCCCCACAGGGCGCCGAACAGTGACGGTAAAAACCCTCCCTTTTCATCACGAGATGCTGATAGGCCCCGGAGTGATATAGCGTGTACCGCACCTGTATCCTGGTCCGTGGGGAGAAGTGTTGCGTGGGTGGGAAAGTGTTAATGCTCTGAGGCTAAGACGTTAGGAAAAGACTGGTACATAGTGAAGTCTAAACATACAAATAATATAAGACTTCACCTGAAGATAATCAAAATCTAGATCTAGGATACGTCAACCTCAATCCACCATTTTCCTTTCTCCACCAAAATGTCATTGGAAGCATAGGCAATTAATCTCATGAGGATAAGCTTTCTAGTCACTTCTTTGCCTTCTCTAGTCCATGTGACTTACGACAGGAATTCTCAGTGCCATACACTGTAGGCTATATTTTAAGTCAAAACAGAGTAGGCCGACTGTACATTGAAGTAACATTTCAGAAGTTCATCATCATCATCAATGCCTTTCACCCTTGGCAGGGTATAGGCCACATACAAGCTCCTTCCATTTATCTCTGTCCTGAGCCATCCTTCCAAGCTCGTTCCAAGTGAGCTTCATTTCTCTCATGTCCCTTTCCACGCATCTCCTCCATGTTTATTTCAGAAGTTAGATGACAGTAAAACATGAAACTAACCGAAGTATACCAGATTGTAAGTCAAACTCAGGAGAACTTCCATTTTGTAGTTTTCTTTTAGAGCAAAGGGGATTTGTGCTCTCAAAATTGAGTAAGAACTAAACGAATTTGTAAAGTAAAGGATACTGATAACTCATGGGTAACATTACGTAACAGGCATACTGATAACTCATGGGTAACATTACGTAACAGTCATACTGATAACTCATGGGTAACATTACGTAAAAGTGATACTGATAACTCATGGGTAACATTACGTAACAGTCATACTGATAACTCGTGGGTAACATTACGTAACATTCATACTGATAACTCATGGGTAACATTACGTAAAAGTCATACTGATAACTCGTGGGTAACATTACGTAACATTCATACTGATAACTCATGGGTAACATTACGTAAAAGTCATGAATTTGTAGAGTGAAATCAACAGGAAGCAACCAGATCATGTGTTCAACAAAGCACACAAATGACTAATGTAGGACAATGTTGTAGGTCTTACAACCTTAAGTAGCTCAACAATTTACAGTCTTTTCCTTGTCACATCTTAAGCGACCACTTCAAGCTCAGATTAATTAGTTGGGTTTTTTTTTTAACTTTACTTTTTCTTTTACCTTAGACATTGTGGGAGTGACCGAGTCATTAAACATTTTTTTCCAAACGGTGATTTTTCCAAAAAAGGGGCTTCCCCAAAAAGACTGGAGACCCTGACTAAGAATCAAGAAGATACAATTAGTTCAATCTTAAATTAGGTCCCCAAAAATAACAACACACATATCAACCAAAATTCAACCTTCACGTCCACCCCACAATGTAAAAAAAAATCTACTGATTATTTCACCAAAAGAAAACTTTTTAAAAAAATAGATATTCAAAAAATAAAAAAAGGCGAAAGCATGACAAAATTCGTTGACAAATTTTTCCTGAAGACAAAAATTTCATGGCACGTTCAAAAACTATCCGTAATGTAACAAAAGACAAGCATGAACATAAAGCATTATCTCGTATCTATATACTTCACACAATAGCACCAATTGTTGGCTACCCACAGTCTGTATACATGCTCATAGGCTAAATACAAGTTAACTCTTCTAGGCTAAATACAAGTTAACTCTTTATCTCCGGCAAGCCGCTCACAACGGCTCGCTGTCGGGATTGCTGTGCCGGTGAGCCACTGACATTCCTTTACGACAACTTCCACATCAAAACAGTTTTCGGCAATTGCAGAAAACAGGTCTTTTTTATTGGGATTTTATTCATCAGATGAAGAACAATTGAAATAGGTCCACTTGTGATTTAGTGACCAATTTAGTGATGTTTTCACCATTTTTAGATTTAGTTCCAAAGAGGGGCCTCGGCATGGTGGGTTTATTTATCCCCCACGGAGATAAAGAGTTAAACAACAACCAAATACTGTACACAAAAGGCACCATGGTCAGTAACTGACCCATTTCCGGCAATAACGTCCCCAATGATTTTTCCCTCAAAATCATAAGTAACTGAAGCAATAATAAATGGCTTGCATAGTTTCAATTTTAAAAATTTCAATACTGTTATCGAGTAAGTATCCACAAAACATATCAATCAGCAGTATTAAAAAACCCCGATATGATTGAAATATAAAATGTACATATGAAAACTTAAAACATAATATCCCAACAAAAATCATCAAGTAAGATATCAGTAAACATGAGTAGTTTCATCAGATCAATAACAGCATTTCCTTTCCTCCCAACATTTACTTTCTGGTAAATACCAGCACCACAGATTGATCACAGTAATAGAGAGATAGAGACAGAGAAGACAGCATCGCTAATGGTAACAAAAAACTTTTCACATGAAAAAAACAGTCATTGTCATCCCTGTCTTTCATAACATCTTTTTTCAACTTGGAAAATGAATGTTTGATCATGAGAGCTTAGCAAATACTTAAAACAACCATAAGGTAAAACATAAATTTGTTATAGACATCTGCATATGAACATATGTGTTTGGGGGTGGGAGAGAGAGAGAGAGAGAGAGAGAGAGAGAGAGAGAGAGAGAGAGAGAGAGAAAGACATAGAAAAGAGAAAGGAAGGACGTCGGGGACGGATGGTGAAAGTGAAATGAGAGAGAGACACCAACAGATAGACAAATGAACACCATGAGAGAGGAATGTGAAGGTGGGAAACAAATCCTTGTGACTCACAACAGCACTGACGTTCGCACACATAGATCAATGCAATATCTAAACAGAGACGGGACCCCACCTCAAAATATTCGAATTTACTTTTGAGTAGCAAAGTCTCAATTAATCGAGAAAATTCGTTGGTAGCTAACCCCACACTAAAATTTGTCACAAAAAACACCGGAGAAAGGTCACCAAAAGGAAGACCATATGTCATGTAAAACTGAAAATGCAACTTCAAGCAACCCTCCTTGGCACAGAAATATGCATGCCTGATCTCCCACAACTCACACAAAAAATCATCATCATCACCCGATGCCTTGCCGTCTGGCGTGGGCGATCATGGACCTCCACTTCACTCTGTCTTGCGCTGCAGCAATCGTGTCTGTTGTTCTTGCTGCTCCTAGCCATGTTGTCATCTTGTCCAGTTTCTTTTCCCTCTGTCTGCCTCTGCCTCTCTTTCCATCAAACTTGCCTGTTACAATATTCTCAAATGCTTCTTTCCGCATTATGAGTCCAAAGAAATTGGCCTGTCGCTTTCTTATATTCGCCATAAGCTGTCTTCTGCAATTTGCTTCAACCAAGACTTCTTCATTTGCTTTTCTAGCACATAAACAATAGAACCACTTTCAAACCATCTTCCATCAAGCAAAAGCTCCAGCAAGGAAACTCACTCAAAACAATATGAACCATTGTCTATTGTTATGGAAACAAGAATCTACTACAAAGTGAACAATTATGAGAAAGGCAATTTCCAACCCTTTCCAGAATTTTCATTTGATAATCCAGCGGATGGGGCCGTTTCAGATACATTTTGAATATCTTGACTGGACACATTTCCATTCTGGTCTGGTTTTGCTTCTCCATCTCCAGTCATCTGAGCAATATGATCATTGTTCTCAGAAGTCACTTGAACCTTGTTATCAGTTTGCACCTTGTTCGATGACGACGAAACAGTAAGGTTTTCGCCTTGAGCAGAATTAGCATCTGGCAAATTGCAAGAGTCAATATGTAGTTTGGCAGACTTGTCAGCAGTTGACAAAGAGGGAGACGTTGGATTAGAAGGCTGGACCAAATGGGGAGCGGGTGAATTTGCTGGAAGCGATGAGGGAACCGTCTGAAGCCCTTGCTGCTCTTGGTTTTGTTGAGAGGTGTCTTTTTGTACAACGGGTACTTGATCAGCGCTTGTCACTGGTGCAGAAATAATATCCGTGTTGTGCGGAACACTTTTATTAATATCAGAGGTCACGGGTGTTTTTACAGCTTTTGCTAGCTCAGTATTTTGAGGCACTGTCTCCGCACTGTTCCCTTGTGCATGACTTGCAACAGGGGACACAACCTCCGGAGTCCCACCTTGCGACAGGAGTGAAGATTCTTTCTCCTTGATATGATCACTATTTCCAGCATCCAAAGACTCCACTTTTTTCCCATCAGAAGGCAGCTTCGACAGTTGGTCTTGATCATCAGAGACAGACGTCCGTTTTGGCCGGTGTGGGTCATGCAAGGTTGCAACAGCTGTGAAGTTGGTCAACTGAGGGATGCAGGGAATGGTCAGTTCCATCTCTTCAGGGGTGACCTCCATGGTCAACTTCTCCATGAGCTCCACAAGCTTCTTGGCCTTCCGCACCTCGTTTTGGTGGATGATGGTGTACAAGTGCTCCGTCAGTTGTTCTTTCGTATCTCCTTTTTCAAACAAATCCATCTTAGCTGACACAAACTCTTTCTCTGCTTTTTCATAGCGCTTTCTGAGGAAGAAAAAAGAGCAAGTTTTTAGAAATTATTATCCTACTCTTAAATGTTTTATAAACTTTTTAAAGGCAGTAGAAGACATAAATTATGATAAATCAACACTTCTCCTTGAGCTTTTCCTAGCCAAAATGTAACTGACCAGATGCTATTGAGCTTCATCATTCTGCTAGACTGCATACTGTAGTATGTTGGTTGAGTTGTTTCATAAAATAAAAACTTGAAAAAACATGATGGTGTTGCAAGAAAGCACAATCTGCAAGTCTTAAAACTACACAGACCTACTATATAGCATCAAACAGAACTTGGAAAGCTTTGTAGTGAACAATCGATTACATCAAGATCATTACCTCTCCAAGAACTAAATGCCTGTCACTCATTACTCCCAGACTGAAGAAGCATTAATTAAATTAAAGTTAACAGATGGTAGCCAAAATAACCTTACTATAGGTACCACAAACTGAAATTTCAAAGTCCTCTGATTTCATACTTAACTGCACTACCTTATAGAATTTATCATTCTGAGCATTTTGATACCAAATTTATACACATAGCTTCATTTTTGACAAAGTTATGAACATCTGAAGTTGCAGAAAAATGTTACAGTTTTTTAATTGCGAAATGTCTACACTTTGAGATGTCACAACATTCTTAAATTTGAATGGACATTCACAAAAACTTGTAGTAGACACACACCTATGCAGATAGAAAAAAGCTCAATTTTTTTCAGGGCTATCAAAAGACGGAAGTTTATTGACGTAAACATGGCTTTTTGACCAAAACGGCAAGAAATACAAGGGGAGGTTAAAATCACCACTCCCGACCACCGGCTTATCGGCTGCGCGCCGGGCCGCGCTGAAGGGAAGGAGAGAGAATTTATACGAAACCGGGGTGATGGTGCCCTGCTTGCAAGCCAACGGGGAGCGTCCAGTGTTTATTTGCGTATAATGGCTGTGCTATTCTTGAAGAGGAATGAATGGGCTTTCTGCCAATATATTTCCGAAGTCAGTCCAATCACTGATTCCATATAAAAACAGCACCGAAAGTTTTCACACGCAAATCTCTTCTATTAATTCTTTAAGGACAATCTTTAGAAATATATCACCGGAAAGAGCGTCTTCTCATCTTGAAATATCGACGAATCAAATTGCAGTATTTAATACCATACGCTCCCTGTTCCTGTTCAACCGAGGTCCCTCTAAAAATCAATATACACGAAACGTGCGGCCGCTGAAGTGAAAACCTCGATAGTGTCGTCTTTTATCCCGCAAGATTTTGCTTTCAAAAGAATCCTTGATTCAAATAAATAATACCACTAAAAAGAGGAAAAGCTCCTCTTTCTTCTTATATATCAAGTGTCTGTGTGTGAGCATGATCATACAGTGTTTTAGGAGGGTAAAAATATCGGTTTTGGTCTCCGTGACAGTGCGCCACGGGGGCACACGGCCAGTTTGCGGTACCTACTTTCTAATAAATCTACCTGAACATGAGTGAACGTTACAGAGAGCAAGACTGTCTGAATAAACCACATTCTACGAGGAACAAATTCAACTCACTGAGCATCCATGTACTCAAGACTGGCCACCTCTATCTTGTCACGGATGATGCTCACATCTGCAGTCAGAAGGGAGTCTAGATGACTCAGTTCTTGCTGAACCTTCATTAGTTTATCTGCTTCTGCTTTGGCTTTTTTTCTCCTGGGGACAAGGTTAAGAGAGATAGTTAAGATAATACTTTATTGTTCTTGTGAACATTTTTCTGTGGCTGTACAGGGATGGTAAAAACACATCATGTAGGCTACATATACACAGAATTTGACTTGTACATTACTTCCACAAATATAAAGCTAGATGTACCAGTCCTACTATTTGAGGCACAAGTGTCATTCTTACTACTCTACACTTCAAAATCACCTCTCACTTCAATCTCATCAACATCATTCTCTTCCTGACCATCAAGGTCCACTTGTCTCTTTCAAAGTCATCAGAGTTTTCACCACAAAAAAACCCAGCACCTAGATATATTTGTCCAACTACAATATGAGGATTCAGACAGAGCCACATTGGACATCAACATCTGGCACTTAACTACAGTGGGTGCCGCATTCAACCAGGTCACATTCAACGAGAAGTCGGCTCCAACAAAGCAATCCTTGATCCCCGATTTTTTCCTCTATATCTCTTTGTAAATGTACGTCGGCTCCAATGAGGTTGCAAACAGACCGAAGTCTCTTTCAACGTGGTCGCGATAATCAAACTATAAAAGCAATTTGCTGCCCCAAAAGCGAAGAATTTTTCTCCTTTCTCTCCATCTCACGCGAAGCACAAGGCCCATTCTCCATTCTTAACACAGTGTATAGCTAGATCTAGTGTGCCTTCTAATATGGGCCCCAAAGTCAAGAGGATGGGCGAGGGTTAGCCTACAGTAGGGATGGGAGGGGGTGGGTGGGAACGTGATGCGGGCTGTGTGAAACTGGATGAACTTTGGACGGGTAGCCTCTAGATCTAGGTCTAGATCGAAACCCTCATTTTTTTTTTCAATTTTCTTTTCTTCTCCTGATCAGAAAATCCAAGCTCCCGCCTTTACTTTATGTAGATCTAGGCCTAGATGTGAGAGGGTATGTTTCCATACGAAAAGTGTTTCGGACAAAAAATATTTTAAAATTCAGAAATGAGGGTCAAAACACAGCTCAAACACGCACACAATGATGATGTTTGAGATTTTCGTCATCAGGGGGAACAACTGTTTTAATTACTGGTATTGGTACATCCAATAATATAATAACTTGTCTCCTTTCTTTACTTTAGCCTTAGTCACATTCAACGAGAGGTCGGATCCAACGAGGACAAGCCAGTCCCGGCAACCTCGTTGAATGCAACACCCACTGTATACATAAACAACCACTATAAATAATAACTGTTCTGTCACGATACAGATCAAAATTCTGGTCTATTTCACTACTTTGATGTGCCAAACCCAAATAATCATTGATTCAAAACAGCTCTTCTAACTCTTCTCAAATGAGTATGAAAGGAAAGGGGGAAGTGTCCTATAGCAGGCACAAGAACAAAGAAATCAAAAGTCAGGGTGTCGGATGGATTATGGGGGGGGGGGGGGGGGGGGGGCATCCTGGCCTACATCTGAAACTCTGGCGGGTTGGCTGTGACATCACACACGGATGCCTCCACAGGGTAAACTGCTTTAAACAGAACACAAAAATAACAAAGAAAAGGAAAAAAAAGAAGAATCAAATGTCGAGTCTCCGTCTGTCAGATCTGGCTACTCAAGTGATGAAAAGAATACAGGTTAGTGATTTAAATACTGGAATTCTGTAAAGATCCCAAAATGCCCAAATTTACCTGTCTTCGATCGCTTTAGCTAGGAGGGCCCTCTTGTGTTTGTTCGCTTCTTCTATCATCTTCTGCTGCTGCTGAAACTTGTGAACATTCCCAAGTTCAACACTGCCGAAGAAAAAGTAAACAGTTGAAAGATCAAACATAAACATTACTTAAAACTGGATGGACAAATTTCTAGAGTACTGACTATAAAATCAAGATCCACTAGTCAAGATACCATCTAGATCTAGACTTCTAACCTAGCTAACACTGATCTAGAATCTTCGGTTCGACACCTCACTTGAGTTATGTTGTGTAAAAGTCTCGAAATTTGAACATCTATATCACAGTATTTGCCTTTTGAATACTTCTGTGTGTCACCAATACAGTCTTCACCACTTTCAAGTTTACTTCTGAGCCTGTCACAGAATCAGTTTATCTGTTTGTCAATGAACTTCACTACTAACACCAGTTTTCACCGGTATTTTTGGTATTAACACCTATGCTGAAGTTATGAACCACTTCAATCAAAGATCATGAAAACTTACAAAAAATCAAACTATTAATCTCTGAGAACAAATAAAAGATTCATTAAAAGTATATCTTTTGAAACAAATAAAGGGTGAGTCTTTAAGACACCAACAATAGAAATGGAAAATGATCCAGTTTTACCTTCACCAGAGGCCCACTGAATGCTCTGTTTTACCACCACTGTTTAAGTAAGGGAAAATCAATCAAATATCATAAATCTTATAGTATAATAAACCAATGTGAAAGAGGAGCTTGAAGGAAGGATGTGGGGCAGGAAAGCCAGGGGAATACTAAAGAGTAACATGGATGAACAACACAAAAACATGGACTGGCCTGGACATGGCGGAGTGTGCAATGGCAGCTCACGATCGTGAAGAACAGAGGGTCATTACACATCAACCTCTGAGTCAGAAGTATCCAGGTATAATAAACCTATAAGCAAACAATAGATTCTTACTTCAAAGCCTCACTCTCATTCAGTTCTTTAACATCAGCAACATGGGGTGTTGGTTCCTCCTTTGACTCTTGTGAACCCCCATTCATCTGTTCACCAGCAGACCCACCCTGGCTACACTTGGGATCAGATTTCTTGCTATTGGTTGTTTCATTCTCCTTAGCCTCGGGTGATGGCTTGCTCTTTGCCATCTTCCCACTTTGAGACAACTTCATGGATACATCTACTTGAGCTGGTTCTCCCCCGGCAGACCGGCCAGTGTTTCTCACAGCTGAGCTGTTGTCACTGTTGGATAACTGTCGCCCAAGCCGGTCGCGCTGCTGGTTGGACTTGGCTTTTCGAGCCATAGCTTGACGTCTGGCATTCTGCCTATTTAGGTCTTCCTCTGAAGAAAAGGTAGAGTTAAATAAATGTACTTCTAAATACTCTCTGGAATATAGGCAGATGAGAATTTTTTTTAAAATGTATCTCTTAGTTCTTCCCTACCTGTGGGGCAATATCAATCATGATCATTTTTCACCTTATGAGAAACTATGCATGGATTAGATCACAAGGCTAGTGGCATCGGTAGCCTAGTGGTTAGGCTACCGGACTCGTAATCGTGAGATTGCGGGTTCGGGGGTTCGAGCCGCAGCTCGGTCCGACGTTGTGTCCTTGGGAAAGGCACTTTACACGAACTTCCCATTTGGCTCGGTCCTATCGGAGACAGACGTTAAACTAGGAGGTCCCGCCCCTTAAATAACCTAGTAGTGTTGATAGTGGCGTTAAACCCATACCATTTCACAATTTTCACAGATCACAAGGCTGGACAGTGCACATTTCTGGCAATAAACAAATTTTCACCTTCAGAAAAAACAGCAACGGTCTCCTGGCTGAGCAAGGCTCTCCTGAGCACAGAATGAGAGTGCCTCTTGTTAATGTCATAACAGTACTCTTAAATTATTACATGTCGCATTCATTTGATAAAAATTATTAAATATGGACATTTGTAAGCACTTTCTAATTGATAGTTCAAGTAGAACAATGGCAACAGCTCATAAGTAAGTAGAGCATTTCATCATACTTTTTAATTATTTGATTTTAAAATTCAAAAGATAGGGCAATTAACTAACACTTCCCTGAGACTCAAACATTGATTCTAGATATACTTCTAGTATCTCACTATCACACACCTAGTGACATGCAACTACTATTTTTAGAGGAAAGTACCAGATCAATGAGAGAAAGACAGACAAAAACGCAGGGGCATTTAATATAAGTATTAACTAAAGGGTATGAATAATGAAATCAACTAGTCATTAGTTCTGTGTTGTGATAGGCCAAGAGCAAACACTTCTTCTGACCCACAAAGAGCAATTATTGCAATGTGACAGTGAAAAAACTGTTTACTCACTAGTCCAATATTTTATAGAACCTGACACAAGTTTCCACAAAAGTATAAAGCTGTTCTTTTTTTTTGGCAAAAGCAGCACAAAAAGAGGCAAACTATTCCCTTAATCCCATACTCTCCTAACCTCGCTCCCTTCTGTCCTTGCTCAATCCAGTAGAATATGAATGAGGACAAAATCCTTGAAGAAAATCAACAGAGAACAAAAGTAAAATTTTGTCATCTGAGCAAACTGTGAGAATACTACACACAACATCCAAGCAAAAATCTTGTATGAGAAACTGAGAGTCAATACATACATGATATATATATATATATATATGTCGATTTCATGGATATATATACAGTCAAACCGGTACAAGGTGGAATCGCAAGGCATGCGCCCCTGTATTTCACCATAATTTGATGTTTTGGCAATTGGGTTTGGTATTTTCTGGAAAAAAATTGATTTGCAAAGGTTTCAGTGGCCATATATGTGTGTTCTGAGGCAAAAATTATGTCACTTTAGCCCCCCCAAAACAGTGCATCTGCAAGCGGGTCTAAAAGTAAAAATTTACATTACCAATATCTTAAATATCGGGGGACGCGGGGGGGGGGGGGGGGGGGGGGGGGGTCAGAAGATCAGCCCATAAAGAAAGGATGATGGGTCTCCTGTACGATTGACAAGCAGTGGTGAAAACTTCACTCCACCCAAGTGCTATCCTCCTAGCCTCTCCGATAATGACAAACGTCAGTCTACTTGTTGAGTGTCACCGCTGCTTACATCATTGTTTGATAAATTAACTGTAACTTTTCAACGTATATATACATGCTCTGTTTCCACCCTTAACCCTACCCATCAGTGTAGGCCTAATATGCACTATCAACCGATGCCACCCCTCCCACGCATGTAGCTTACAATGATTAAGGAACTTTTTTCTCGGTTTGCTGTGTATGATAAGACTGACAGACATTGTGGTCAAATTAATTTCACATCTCTTGCTATCCAGGAAAGTTTCTGTGCCTGTGCAACACTGGGGCAATTTCACAAGCAGTGGTGATACTTCACACCCACATCACCCTGAAAATCTTCATTACTCAGGGCTCATATGGAGGGGGTAACTTTGCCCAAGCTGCATCTTTACCCCATTTCCTTGCCTTACAGTATGGCGTAAAATATCGTCCTAATTTTCTTCAATCTTCAGTAGTCAGGTCACTGTTATCACCACAGTATTTTCATTGCAATAATAACCTTGTACCATTAAGTGTGCAATATATTTCAGTAGGTAAAATATCAATAACCAATGCCCACAGCTAATTTTCTTGAGGTATTTGGGGAGGGGGAGTGGTTGTTAATTTCTTTGAGAGGAGATTTCTGAGTCTCACTATTAATTGATGATTTCTTTCTTTTCATCGAGGGGGATTGAATGAGTCGGCTATTCATCAGGTTCCTCTTCAAATCAAAAACAGAGTAAATGGACATGGAGGCCAAAGTGAAAATCTGCTAAAATGGGGTAGAATCAATTTATATCGAACAAGTACCCCTATTAAGTGCACAGATTTTCCACTTCATAATCTCGAAATAAAAGTAAGGAATACCTGTCAAGACCAATTAGTCAAAGCAAATGATGAAACGGGAGTGAAAAATAAAATCTGGAGTTGCCTGCCAAGGTAACACGAGTCTAGTAAGTCAAGTTCTCTAATCCAACACACAGACCAACTTGCCCCAAAATAAAGAGCCACTTCATTTATTCATTCAGACCATTGTATCTTCAATGAGAGAATGGAAAATCTGCACTAAGAACACGAAAAGTGTGACTGCAATTCATTGTGAAAGGGAAGAGGCTAGCCGTACTTAATGACGGCTAGACTGGCAGTCTAGCAGTACTTAAGTACAGCTATACTGGTTGGCTAGACAGCTGGGCTAGCCGTACTTATTTTTAATATATATGATGTATAAATTTTTAGTTTGCAGTACCTAGAGTATTTGTATTTGAGACGAAACCAGGTGCCTTAATGACAGTGCATGTATTTTAAACCTCCTGTTTTCTAATGTTAATAGGACCTAAGATAAGTACGGCTAGACTGGCAGTTTAGCCGTACTTAAGTACGGCTAGACTTC